CATATTGCGTCAAAGTCTCATTCGGAGGCACAAGGACTGAGTTGTGTCGGTCAATGCCTAAATACCTTCGTTGACTTTCTCGAAATTGTAACTGTCAACAGTGACGTGGGTGCCAAGGCGCGAATGTGCTGACTGTTTGTTTGATGACAGGGGATACTTCGTCTTGTCCTCGTTTACCACCAAACCCATTCGCTTTGCTTCCTTATCCAACTTGGAAAATGCAGAACAGACGTCGCGGTTTTTAATACCGATGATATCGATCATCGACTGCGGGCTCGATCTCCACAACTTTCCGAGCTGCTACCTTTTAGTAGGGCGGAAAAGTTTTCCCTCCATAACTTAAGTACGCTCTGGACATCGGTTACTAGGTCGCCATTGTTGTTCTTACAGGAGTACGCCCTGGTCTCGAAACCTTCCGTAAGTCGCCTAACTCTCCGGTAAAATTTTCGGGCATTCTTCCTGTCGGCCAGCATTTTCAGCTCTTCGCACTCACGCATTTCGGCCTCTCTCTTCTTATTGCGGCAAATACGTCTCGCTTCCCTCTTCAGATCCCTATAGCGCCCGATCGTAGCGTGGCCCTGTAGGCGGCATCTCTTTTCTCTGCAGCTTCCTGACACTCCTCATCGTACCAGTTGTTCTTTCGGGCTCGCTGAAATCTGACTACTTCTACGGCGCCGGTACTTAATCAGCGGGAAATATGGTTCCACTGCTCGCATATGTCGGTTTGTTGAAGACTGCTCTCTGAGGGCAGGTGTGCGAGTCGAGTAGCGAAAGCGCTGGCTGTCTGTTGTGATTGCAGCTTTTCGACGTTAACCTTTCCTTGCATGTTTGGGCGCACATTTTTTGCTGCACAGAGGCGGGTGCGTATCTTGGCTGCAACAAGATAGTGGTCCGAGTCGATGTTTGGGCCTCGGAGTGTGCGTAAGTCGATCAGCCTCAATCCGTTGTCGGACGTTTCGTCGTGGAGGCTGAATTTTCCGACGGTGGTTCCAAAGATCCCTTCCTTGCCCACCCTGGCATTGAAGTCGCCAAGCACGATTTTGATATCATGACGGGGGCAGCGCTCGTACGTGCGCTCCAAGCGCTCATAGAAGAGGTCCTTTTATGCCTCATCCTTCTCTTCCGTCGGGCATGGGCGCAGATGGGCGAGATGTTGAAGAATCTCGCTTTGATGCGGATTGTGGCTAGACGCTCGTCCACCGGGGTGAACGAGAGTGCTCGGCGACGGAGTCTCTCTCCGACCACAAATCCAACTCCGAGTTTGCGCTCCTTTACATGGCAGCTGTATTAGACGTCGCAAGGCCCCAGACATTGCTTGCCTTTCCCCGTCCAACGCATTTCTTGGATGGCGGTGATGTCAGCTTTTGTTCTTACGAGGACATCAACCAGCCGGGCAGAAGCACCTTCCCCATTAAGTGTCCGGACATTCCAGGTGCATGCCCTCAAATCTTAGTCCTTTAAACGTTTGCCGTGGTCGTCATCATAAGAGGGGGTCTCATCCGAGGCTTTGCCTTGCTTCTTCACTGGAAGTGGTTTTTACGTGGCGGGTCCTAAACCCAGCGCACAACCCATTGCTACCAAATTGCCAAATTTAAAAAAACATCAGACCTACAGTGTTTGTTTTCATACGGTTTGTTGTAAACACATTAAAATAATTTATTTGAAAGCACGCAATTCGGTCCAGTGTAAATGTAAGTATTATTATATCACTTCATTATTGTATTGTGCGATTCACTGCATCGTAGGTTTCAGTTTTGTGATCGCTGACATTTGGGCGTGCTTCATAAGTGCATATTGTTACCCCATGGTAATGTGCCTCATTGAACTCGCCGCGAAGGCCTATGATAAAAAAAAAGTAAAAACGAATTTGTCACAAGATTTTAGTTTCGGCCTCTATGCTCACCAATATAGTAGATCCGTGCTACATCGTCACCGTAATTAGAAGGAAAATGTAAAGAAAGGTGATGAACGGATGAGAAAGTTACCACCCTGGAAAAGACAGAGAAAAATAGTTTGATATTATGTTAGTTGGATCATTTATTACTAAGTTTTTTTATACTTTTTTATACTGTACTTTGCAGGGTGAAAAGGAACCATGTTTGATGATATCGCACATTTAATAACACCGTGCGACAGAAACAAAAAATTTTAAAAACACAAAGAGGATAGCAACAGAGCTTCAAATACAGACAATCAATACAAAAGTAAACCAATACGTAGATAGTCAGGCGGCAATTAAGGCAGTTACCTCATATAGTATTTCATCCATAAACGTACTTCGCAGCCGGGAAACCATTGACAGGCTGGTCGCCGACAGAAGGCTGCATATCTATTGGGTACCCACAAGGGAATAGAGGATAATAAAATAGCACATGAGACTGCCAACTCTCGAACAGACAAACAACATTTGTAGACCACTTCAACACTTGTACAACGAAATATACGATAATACGATTAGGCAGTTTA